ATCTTGTTTACTTCCTCGTTCTCCTGTCATTCTTGTTTCCTGTTAATTTGCACAAGAGTAAATGGTAAGTGGTTTAAGAAAGCTTCTGCAAGCTATTTATCATCCCTTCAAAAGATGCAAGATACAGTTTTTAGAATTATTTTTCAATTAACATCAGCAATCTATATTGTTCATTCATACAGCACATTCACTTATCCTTTTACGTAAAAAGCACTTGCCATTTTCAGTATATCTGCACATCATCAGTCAGTGAGGAATCTATGTCAACTTGTTTAATGTTTCTTCCACAATTTACTATTCACAGGACGCATCAAACCACAGCATTCAGTTGCTGTGATTATGTTTCCAAACATTCTTTGGTTATTTCTGATCGCTTGCTCTTCAGCCATGTTTTCATCCATTTGTACACCTTTAGACAGATGTAACTCCCCAAGAACAACAACAAAACTCTTTCAATCACTGGCACTAACATTCTGAGTGGCCTGAAGTGATAAATCCATTCTTGCTCTTTGTTAAGAATTGCAAGACACAGCACACTTGGAATTTCGGTGTGGAAAAACATTTATGTAAAGCAAGCTTGTCAAATGTAACTATCTGCAAGGGTATCATCCAGTATAATACAATCCCCATTTACATCTACCAAGTCTTGTATCACTGCCACAGTTTGATCATTAACATATCCTGCTACATCTCCCTTCCAGAAGAAAGAAGTCAGCTAGAAGCCCTAGAGGAAAATTAGAGTCAGTTGACCTGTCAAGATTTCATATATTGTAAGAGAAAAATCTTACAGGAGACCTCTCAAAGTTTACAAAAATATTTCAAAACCTTTGATACTCTCATCTGAACCCCAACTCTATTTCAGTTTACACATGCATTTACCTGTAAAAGGTGCTTTCTAGCACTTTTTTTTTAACTCATAAAAAAAAAAAAAAAAAGAATGTTTCAAAAGGCAGTGAGCTAGAAATAGCATAGCATCTTTACATAATACTGAGATCAATAGTATTTAAAGTAGCTGGAAAGTATACTAACATGAGTAGTACTTTTACAATGGCTTGTTTGAAAATACCTGGAGGCTTTTACATATCCCAAAGGCATTTCTCATTTGCACAGTAAAGATAATTTTTTGTTTATATCTGAATATTAAAATGGGAATACAGTTACAGTTATCCAGCAAGAACTGCAAAGACTGCTGAAAAGTAAAATATCATTGGTGTGTTACAGGAATCAACAGTGCAGCCATAAAAAGGTACCAGCTACATTTTTACAATTTTAGGGCAGGCGAACTTCTATTTTGGGACCATGAAAGCACATCAAAATAGCAGGAAAATAATGGAAACCTACTATTAATTCCCCGCTATGACCCCCAAATTATGCCTTTTACATTTTCCTGGTTTATTTTAGAAAAAGATACTATAAGGAATTGTCTAACACTACAAACATAAATTAATGCTACAAACATAAATTACCTGACTGTATGGTTAGGACTGCCCACTCAATTTCTCCCAATACATATTTTTTCTTTTTTCTTCATCACACATCCAGGTGTACAAGGTTGCAAGTGAACATTTTGTCGTTTTGCACTTGCATCTTTTTAGTCCTGTCACTGTAATCTCCTGAAGAAAGGCTGGCTGTCACCAATTTAAAGACTGAAATCCACTGGACAATATTGCTTGCTTCATTATATATATGATCTAGGATACACATGACTATGCTTGCTTCAATTCTGTCTGCCTCCATTAGGTAGCTGGGTTCTGATCTCAGGCAGTCAATAACAAAGATTCGGTGGGCACTGAAAATTTCTCAGTTATGGAATTTTTGGTGGAAAGAACACACTGAAGAATGAAGGTATGCAAACGTTGGTGGCATCCATGTCACACAGTTCCAAGCAGAAACAACAAAAAGTTTAAAGCCATTTCATTCTGTTTCTCTCTCTCTCAAAATCTCCTAGTAAGCCAGGGCAAGATGGAAAACATTATGAACTTGGGTAAGACTGGGTGAATGTTGTTCCTAATATAGATGAGAAGGGAAAAAAGTCTCTAAGAGGACTCAAGGTGGTTTTTTATCAGATTTCAGTGTAAATTTTCAGTTTCTAGCTCCTGATACAACTGTGTAGAATACAGAAAAATAGGCTGTGAGCAGCACAGATCTGCCAAGTGACATCCGTCAGGACTCATTTTGCTCATAACTGTTACTTGGTAATCCCATCTCTTTAACCTTTACATCCACATATTTTTCCTAGATTAACAAAGCCAGAAAATCACTTGTCCTGTAATTTTCCGGACAGCAGCAGTGCTAGGTAGCAGATTCCTTGGAAATCTAATCAACATATTGGAACTGAGATAAACTGAGATAGTAGTGATATAAAAAAAAAATTTACTGCGATAAGGCAGCGAATAAGACAAAAAGTGTTCTGAAAGGATGAGAGTATGAAGAGGTACAGTAACAAAACAGAATCTGCTTAGGAAAAGATTACGGAAAGTTATAGCTGGAAAAGTTAGGAGAGAATTCACGAAGCTGTAATTTGGTTGTGCAAAAGATTCACAGGTAAAGCTGGGCTAGAAATTATTTCCAAAGCAGCAATCAGACCCTTCTCAGGCAAAAGAGATGAAGCTACATTAATTAAAGAGAGAAATACACACTATTGCTCCATCTGTCCAATCAAAATAACCCCAAAGTTCAAAGTTGTGATTAATAAAACTCCTATATACTGAATGGGTTTTACCCAAACGTATTCCAGGATTCTCTGGGGTAATGATAACACCCAAAAAGGTGCTGTGGGAGCAATTTTTTCTTTCTTAATTCCATAACTCTGAGAAGCATGGGAAAGGTATGATATAGATGTATAGCCTTGAGCTCACAAGAGGTGTTCTAAAGCATTAGTGTTGTTCTGAGAGGACATAAAAAACTAGGCAAGCACCTTAATAGAAGTATGTTGTCACTCTTTCACATAAAAGTACCAATCACCAGCCTCTACACAAAAGTGCAAAGCACGTACACAGAATATACCTTTACCTTCATATATAATAGACTATTGTCATATACCAAATTTCTGTAGCAAGTCTTCTGCTAGGCTGAACACTACATGAAAAGAGTTTCACAAATATTTCCTACCATTGTAAAAAAATTCACCTCATTATCATGCTTTTGGGCATCAAGGTGGCATCTAAGAGCCCCATGTTCATTGTATCAGGCAGGATAATGCAGGCACAATTATCAATTTCTGTTCTAAATAAAGTATAAAATCATGTAAAGCAAGGGATAACTACCAACCATAAAAATATTCCTAGACATGAAGAAGAATAAACAAAGAAGATAGACTGTATCTGATATAAGCATACAATTCAAGAACTTCAAATAATTCATTGTATTCAACATTGTTTAAATGCATGCTTTCTAACACCTCTGTGCTTCAATTTGTCCTAATATCCCTATTATTTTTTATATGCAACACCAATCAAAAATGTTCATATAAGCCTGAATATCTCTGTTTCTACCTTACTCAGCTTCATGTGAATGAGCTAAAATTTTCCATATTGTTCAGCTATCTACAAAATGTGGTTAAGGAAAACAATTTTTTAATGTTTTCAGTATACTTGTGCTTATATACATGTAATAGAGGTTTACATACATAAATTACTATATTTATCTATTTCAAGCAGTTCTTGGGGGTTTTTTTTAATGTTTGAAGAAGGACGATGGATACTACCACCACTGCCCTCATGAAAATATGACCAAATTTTATCATGAAACAAGTCACTAAGAATCTGCATTCCAACATAAACAAGTGACACTGTAAATCGGTTCCTAAGTTTTCCTTGTGTATTAAAATGTCTTCCCAAATCAAAACATCCAAGCAATGTGAAAGTACACTGTCCTAACAGTCAAGCTACTTTTCTCTGCAGGTAAGTGTCCCAGTACAGAGCCAGAAGTTACTTGACACCATCATTGGTGACCACATGCGAATTCTCAGGTAACAGCTATCTTAAAATAAGCTGCATGTGCTTATACCATCAATTTCTTCCCCTGCATACGAATGCTTTAGAATATTAGCTCTAGTTACATGATCACACTGTATTTTCAGACAAAATTTTCAGAAGTGGAAGAATATTTACTGATCAAGTCCAGAAAGGAAAGACATGAATAAATAAAACACGCCCTTCAAAATCAAAGCACTGAACAAGAACCCAAAAGAGCCAGTACCCCTCCTCGCTCTACGACAAGCTTCCCAAGTAATGTTGGCAAGCCATTTAAACAAGTTAAAATCCATTTTTTTCTTTTTAAAAGAATCCACTTTTTCATTTCAAAAAAGCAAACTCATTGCACCCTAAGAGACAGAACAGGCAAATCTTTTGACCATAAGATAATCAAGTCTTTGAATTCTGACAGTCACATTACCAACTCATTCACATTCTCCCTATCTTTGGCCTACAAAAATTCTAAATTTGCAAATATTAGCATTCTAAAACAACCAATCACATACTGTGATGATTAACTAACATTTATAGCAATCAGGTGATAATATGTAAGTACCATGAGGAAACTGTCATCATTAATATCCTCAGAGAAGTAATAATTAAACTGCATAGTTACCTCTTCTCTTACGACGTCTTAGCCTTTCACTTCTTTAAGAATGCAGATAAACATAATTTACACATGTAACAGTTACCCAACCACTTATAACACTGGAAAATGTCATTTACCCTCCTCTTGCTCTTTCAATGGAAAAATAGAATATGCAGTACGTTTATAATATAAAAACTGAATTCAATGGCAGCACAGCAACCTCAGTGAAAACAGACTTTGAAGTATACTTTAACTTATACAAAAAAAGGAAACTTGTAACATATGCCAGGCACTCTTGACAAAATTTAACAATGGAATTTTTGTAACAAATTTTTTAAATCCTACACAATCCTCAATTAAAAAGATAAAGAATATGGTATCAGCAGGGATTTTTGTTTGGTTTTGGTTTTAGTATCACGTTAAATCTTTAAACTCACCTTTCCACAACCAAGCTGATAGCTTGAGTAAGGTCTGGACTTGATACTTGGAGACGTTTCCAGAGAGACCACACAAATTCTTTATCAGCCTTAGAAACAGGAAAAAAGATAAAAATACTTTAAATGTATGCTACACCTTTTATAGACGAAAAAATTATACTGTGCATCTTCAAAAGACCTCTATTTTAGTGAGAATTCCCTACAAGTTACTCACTGTCCTCGGCATAAAGAGACACAGCAAACCATTCTCTTGAACAAACAAAGTTTTAACCATACAGAATTTTTAAGGAAGACAAAGACCTACAATCAACAATAGAAGAGTACGCAACATGACATAGGCAGCAGAAATCAACGTTATTTAAACAAGGCTGCCTTTTATTATATCAATTGCTGGTACTTCTAGCAGCAGGACACAATTTCTATTAATTAACATTGAGCCTGGAATACCTGCTTCAACATTAAGTTTTACCATATTCAGCTCTTAGATTTTGTTTCAAAATCGACAGTAAATCATTCTAACATATGCTCAGCTAACCTGCATTATATAAAAGTTTTTGAAAAAATTCTCAAGTGAGAGCAAGAAAACAATGCTCTTTACAAATACACTGAAGAAAGTTTGTGACAACTAGATGTCAGCTAAAAGCTTTTCCAGATTTATATTTTCTACTACACATAAGTTTTTATTTTTCACTTGTATATTCTTATTCCAATATAGTTTTATTACTGTAAAATATTGGAAGCACTAATACTGATGTAGTTATGTTAAAAACTAAAACCATAATGTGTTAATTATATAAAAATGTTAGAGGGCAGGGCGGGGGGGAAAAATCAGCAAAAGATGAAGACAAGGAGAACAGTAAGAAAGCATATTGATATCAACTATGGACTGGACTAAGACCAAACCTGCTAAAAACAGCCTAACACAAAATTAGAAATTAGTAAGCCAAAACCATCATATTGGCAGCTACATCTATTCAGCACATAAAAATCACAGGAGTACAGCTTACTCTACCTTTTACCAGTTTTTGAATGTTAAAAGAGAAATAGAATTTGCATGAGGACAATAGATGACCTAAAAGGAAAACAGTTACAGCTATCCATTTCCTTGCTTCCTTCTTCTCCCAAGCTTCTGGAACCTAACGATCTACTAAGATATTGCAGGTATCATTAGTTAACCAGAACCTCACTAAAATGGGCTAAACAAACAACACAGTATCATCTCTCTGCACAACTCTATCTTAATCCCAATTATCAAATGAAACAGAAGACCTGAGTTCCTATCTTCACCTCCACTGTTTAGTTTCTTCATAGCTTTCCTACTTAATTTCTGCTTTCCCCGATTTCTCATTTTTTATGAATAAGAACAGATGGCACCTTGGGTCACAGTACTGTACGCCCATGATTTGAAACAGCCAAAAGCAATGGTCATCTAAGACACAAACCAGCTCAACAGAACTACAAGTTTAACAAGCCTCACAAGAGCAAATAAAAAACACATACTATATGATTAGAGTAAATCTCAGGAGCAGAAATTGCTTTTTCTATTTTTGCTGTATTTTCTTTTCATTTGCTCCTTATCAGTTTTGCTTTCTAGGAAGCAGACTTGAACTTTACATGTAATATCTGTTCCATCACATGATAATCACTCCATCTTAATGTTTCTCTTTCTTCAGACCAGGACAAGAAGCTATCTTTAATATGAAATCAAAAGATCTCTCTAAAACTAGCAGGCCTTTATCAAGATTTATTAGTGTACTGAGTCTAAATTATTTTATAAAGATTAATACCACAACAGCCAAATACATTGAATTATGGTTTTAACAAACTTTAATAATGGTTATAGAAGAAACAGGAAACACGGTTGTACCTATTTTCTCCATGATTTATGAGGAAAGCCTCAAAGATTTTTTTTTAAAGTTCTGGTGTGTCTTTCCTCCAAATTCAGAAATGCACATGTTTTGAATTTTAAAATTGCATAGAGAAGCGAAGCAATGCTGAACTTAAGAGAAAACATAAGAAAAATGCTGAGCAAGTGAGAAGTGAGGGTTTTTATGATTGTTGGTGTAAAAAAATATGTTCCTCACCTACTGGAATTTCTAGTTTACATTTATTTAAATCTTTAAATGCCATCAACTTCTTCAACCAAGCAAGGAAGAAAACTTTATGGAGATTTGATGCCTTATCAAGGTATTGCTGTAAACCCAGAAAAATTCATCCACCTGCTGTAAATGCACACCACTACAAATCTGACCAGCTTTCTGATTGTGTTAGAAAGTAAATAAAACAAAGGCTCTGGCCACAAAGACCTTATAATTCAAGACTATTTATCAGCTTATGCAAACTGGACTACAGCAGAAAGAGTTTGTCTTTCGTAAAATCAGAGAAATTTCATCTAACTGCCTTTGCAGGATGTACACAACTTTTAAAGTGTTGACAGGGAGACGTAAATTTCTGGTATTTCCAAACAAAATCAAACAATTAACAAAAAACGTTGTGTAGAAAGAAATGGGGCACAAACTGTTCTTATAAACCCTTGAAAGGAATACCATCTTTCTCTAACCAAACTGTGCTAGCAGTGCAAGGACTCTCTTCAAAACTGAAAGTGACCCTGCTGCGTGCAAGCAAACAGGTAGGAACTAACTGGATTATGGTGCACTATGGTGCATGACTGCATTTATTTTTTGAAGAAAGATAACACCAAAACTAAGCCATACATCATACAGCTAAGAAGTCAAATGACTTCACATCAGTATCCAAGTCTTTATGCAGCAGAAGTGCTAAAAGTAAGTTCACTTTCAGCTAGGAATTAAGTTAAAAGACAAAACAGTAAGCATCATATTAATTACATCAGTTCAGGCCAAGAATATGGCTATCCACCTTTTTTTTTTCTTTTTTTTTTTTTTTTTTTTAAAAAGTACAACTTCTCATTGTATGCTATCACCTTATGCCACTTAATAGCCTGGATTTCTATGTATCTAGTCTGAAAGACTACAAAAAGCGTGCACTTTTTTCTTGTGTCCTCAAAAAAAACAACTCCTGAAAATGCCTTACCATGTCTCTTGAAAAGTCATAATGTGTGTACACTGTGAACCATGCATGACTTACTGCTTCTTCTCAGGCAGAAACAGGATGAAAAATAAAAACAGTGTTCTGATTTGGAAAAACTGCTGCAGGCTTCCAAAAAGCACTAGGATCTATACAGAACACAGATTCTGAGTATTTTTAACATCTAAAAATATCTTATATTTATGTTGGGAGCCCAGCAAAGAAAAAACACAAAGCCAAACAAAAACTCACTAAATAATAGCAATGGAAATGCAATTTCTTTTCAATTATTTAGAAGGACAGTAAGTCAGCAGTTCTTACACTCTAAATGATACCACTTTGAGTATGAGGAAACATTCGAACCATAACGGAGGAATAAACCGCTATACCTAATAAACTATGTCTAACTCCAATTTTAAAATAATTTTAATTCAAATCTCTCAATCAGCAATATGGAGAGCAGAAATGAAGTGATAATAGTGCTTGAATATTTTATCTCTTTAATACACAATTCACTGTATATTTTTACACTAAAATACTTTAAAATTACTAACAAATTAGTCTAAGGGCCATGAAGTCATTACAGCACAGAGAAGTCCAAATATAAAAAAGTGCCAATAGTATTCCACCTGCAAATGCTCAAAAATCTTGAGTCAAACAAACAATCAAATTTTCTGATGCTGATTTATGAGTTCATGAACTTTGTTCATTTCATTTTTATTTGCCTGTTTACAGATTTGGATTTGCTTACCATCAGGCTTCCTTGGCTTCTCCCTTTACTGTCCTGTATACAAGACCACAGAAACAGCTGTCAGGTTTTCTGCATATTTATTTATTTATTAGAAGAGCTAAAGACACTTGCACTTCTGCATGACTCCAGGAAGCACTATCAAATATCACAAGACTCACCACAAGCAGTGGCGGCTGCCTGTTGTCCTACCCTGCAGGTTCCTACACACTCCAGGTATCAGCTGGGGAACAGTACACGGCGTCACAAGAAAACAGAATAGTGCACAACTTTCAGACACGTACTTCTAAGCACAGTATTCCTCCATCACAAAAAGCGATAAAAAGGGAAAACTACAATAACATATACTAAATTGTTCCCAAAGAACAAATATGTACAAAATATATATACGTACAATAAAACAAGAGGGAAATGTTCACAACCCTTCTGTGATTTTTGTTGAGTATCCAGCAAGTATTGAGTCTCTGGCAACCTAGTTTCTACCTAAACTTTGCCAAGCCTCTCAGAAATTGAGCTTTTGATATTATATAAAATATGAAGTTTCAATAAACATTGTTTTCCTAATGCGAACACAGATACTCAGGTACAAATCATCTCTTAATTGAATAAGCAGTTCAGATCAACCTCAAAGCACCTATAATTATTTCCACAAACAGATATTACTTTCAAAGTTGTCCAAGGAAGAGTAAAATCAACTCCAAGTTGTACTCATGTCAGTGAAATTGCCACTCCTTACTTAAGTTCTGCAACATCTCTGTCTGTGCTGAAAGAACAGTAGATGAAATAGGAATGAAAAAGCCATCCTAACTTAAAAAGAAGCTTGCAGTAAGGAATATTGAATGTGAACAGTGTGCACTAAATAAACTTCAAAGAAACAGCTAAACAGAACAGGATAAGTAGCGCCCATTTAAAAACAAAACAAAACCCCAAACAAACAAAACACAAACAAACAAAAACCTTCCCAAGTCGTCTGGAAATAAGTGAAAAGTCACTGGAATTTCCAGAACTGCAAAACAACGCCACCTCAATAAATGCTGTTTATTTTTGATGATTGCAGGAATTGGTATTTAAAGTTACTACTGGAACCTATGAATGAGCACACGTAGAACCATAAAGCAACGCAGTAATTATATCAACAGATATTCTAATCTAAATCAACAAACACCCTTCACTGCATATTTGTATTTCTGTAATTGCACACAATACAAAGCAGCATCCTGCCTAAGTGGCCCTTCTGCCAAAAGAATAAGGACGCAAATTATTTAACAGCATCTTCAAATATGTTACCAGTAAAAA